CAAAAAAAACCCCCCCCCCCCCCCCCCCCCCCCAATTCTTTATCTATCAGTCCTAGGGCTGTCACAGAGGGAAGGTACATCCGGTCAGTACCTGAGCTTTACCCTGTGGTTTCATAGACAGATTAATGGATGGGCCAGCTGGGCACAAGCCCAGAGGCCTCTACCAGTTCAGGACCCCAGAATTCTCATCAACAGGGAAGTAAAAGCCATAGTTTTAAACTCAGTGCCCCTTTTTGTCTCCTAGAAGGGAGACAAAAACGGTGCCAAGCTTAAAACTGCAGTTTTTGCATTTGGTTACCTGAGAGCTGGAAGCAGGGTCCCTCCACCAATGGGGCGGGGGGGACAGGGCTGGTGCCAGTCTGGGAGAGCCATGCTGCACCTGGGGTAGGTGAAGGGAGGGGGGCAGGCCAGGTGGCACTGCACCTTGAGGGGGGAGGGGGCCACGCTGGGCCAGGAGAGCAACACCCCACCTGGTTGGGTTTGGGGGTGGTCAGGGCTGAGCCACAAGTGCTATGCTGCACAATGCCTTTGCAGGCAGCAGCACTGGGAGGGCCTTGGGGGCTATAGCCCCCTAAAATTTATCTTAGCCCCCCCACAGCCACCCCTCCCAGTCCTGCTGCTCTCCTGCAGAGACATGGCACAGCAATCCTGGCCTAGCCCAGCCCAGCCCAGCCTGCCCTTCTGCATCTGTGTGGCTGCACAGGGCAGCCAGGCAGCAGCTTCCTGCAGGTAAGTTTAATAGAGAACGGGCAGGGAGCTAGACTGAGCCACACACAGCTTGCAACGGGATGGGGGTGGGGTGGGGTGGGGTGGGGAGGCTGGCTTCATGTGTTTGAGAGTGGGGGAGGAGGAAGATACTGTGAGGGAAAAGTGTATGTGTGCGTGTCCATATCTATGCATCTGTCTGTGTATGTCTGTTCATGGCAGGGAGAGTGCATTTGTGTCTGAGTGAGAATAGAGGGTGCTCACATGTGTCTGTACCCACCCCAGCCCAGCAGGGTCCAACCAGCCTCCCCCACCAGCACTAGGAGGGGTAGGGGCCCCTCCCCACCCCCGTTTGCATCCCAGCTCCCACGTGGGGAGGGGGCCTCCAATTTTGTGTTTGCCCAGGGCCCCAGTACACCTTAATCCACCTCTGTGTGGTTCTTTCTTGAATGTCAGAAGTTAGCACCTGCAGGTCAAAGGCTGAGACCCAGCCCCACCCCCCTAGCGGGGTGGATGACACAGGCTGGTGGTATGCCCCCTGTCCATGGTGGCCTCAGGTTCCCCACTCAGAGACCCTTTGCTGTTCCGAAATCCCTCTTTTTGTATCCCTTTCCCCTCCTCATGACTCTGCATTTTCTAACATCATTGACGGGTCACCCTGTGATTGTCATACTGTCCATGTTCAATCCTGTCACTGTATTCCTTTGTTCCCCGAACCGATCACATGAACACACCTTAAATTTGGTCGTGCCCCAGCCTCTTAATTTGGTCTGCCCACCAAAACCTGAAATCCCAGGGGCTCTGCCACTGGTCACTGTGACCTGCCTCCAATGTGGCAAGCCCATCATGTTCTGAAACAGTGGGGTACACTAGGTCTTCAGTTTCCCAGCCTGTGTATGCATTGGCCTCAGACATGATGTCTGCCTTGAAGGCTGAGAAACTTTGTCACAAACAGTATTTTAAAAACCAATTAACCCTTGCCATTCCCTTGGACTATTGTTCTAATGCAATATCTACTTTATCTACAAGCCAATTCATAAAATCAAATCTCTAAATATCATTTTCTAGCCAAAAGCACTCATATAGTGCAAAGGGCTATCTGACTGTTCAAGGGGAGAACAGTCAAATTCTCTGTTGGGCTCAATCCAAGCACATAGACCTAGACCATCACACATTCCACACACTGATGCCACAAAAAAAAAAAAAAAAATCTTTTTTTTAGAGATGCACTAAAACATTGGTCCATATTGTATTGGTACCGATAAAAGGAAAATTGACATTATCAGCAACCAGCTTTTTTTGGTTCATGTGGCTGATAATGTTGTCAATAAACCTCCCTTGCTGCTGTCTGTGGCAGCTTGGAGAGCAGCATCTGGCTGGCAAGTCTGTTGGGGGTTGGGGAGGGAAGGGGCATGGGGGGCGCAGATTAGGGTCCCCACAGGGAGTGAGGGAGTGGGGTTGGGGCTGGCACTGCCCAGGCAGGGCAAGATGAGGCACAGGACTGAGCCATGAGTTACTCGCCCAGAGGGGATGGGGAGAGGGAGCGGCAGATTCCACTGCTTTGCACACTTTCGGGGGAACCATGGGAGTCATGTGCTTCCTGGATCTGTGCATGGGGTGAGGGCAGGCTGCCATTGCAGGCTGGGGCCAGCACTGGGCTCTTCACAGTGGAGAGGGGGGCTGTGCTCAGGGCAGGCAGCACTGGTGCTGGAAGGGTGACAATGGGGGATCTATGGAAAATTCTGGAGTGGCTATAGCCCACCCCCTAGCCCCCCTACCCCAGCTCCACCAGTTCCCACCCCAGGAGTGTGTGTAGAAGTGGGATACCCCCCCCCACCCCCTAGACAAGCCGTGCAGCTCTGTCCCACATTTGCCCCAGTTGTTCAGCACCTGTCCCTGCCCCAGCCCCACTCCCTCCCTCCCTCAAAGCAGAGACCTCAATCTGCACCCCCCCATGCCCCTTCCCTCCCCCAGCCCCTTCCCCACAACAGATTAACCAGCCAGAGGCTGGTCTCCAGGCTTCTGGGCTGCATATCGGCCAATATGGCTCATTATTAATTGGCCACCGGTATCAGCTCAAAACAAACAAAAAAAAATCTTTAAATCAATGATGCACCTTTTTTTTTTTTTTTTTAAATACTAAGCCAATTTATTGTTCAGAAACAAGTTTGCAAATACATGGCCACAACAGATTAACCAGCCAGAGGCTGGTCTCCAGGCTTCTGGGCTGCATATCGGCCAATATGGCTCATTATTAATTGGCCACCGGTATCAGCTCAAAACAAACAAAAAAAAATCTTTAAATCAATGATGCACCTTTTTTTTTTTTTTTTTAAATACTAAGCCAATTTATTGTTCAGAAACAAGTTTGCAAATACATGGAGACATAAGGATTACTATTTTTATTTCCTATTTAGGCTTAGAAACCATATTTGGAGTTTAAGTATTTGCTTTAACAGCTGATTGTCTCTGGGTTAAGAGCAAGACTATTATTTCATTTTGCATATTATTGTCAAACAAAATAGAACAACCTGTGCTCTCCGGATTCTCTCTACCATGAGGGATTCTGTTCAGGCCAAGGTAATAGCCATCATCTGTCAGAACTTCGTAGTCCTCACTGGGGTATCCTTTGGAACTGATCATCTCACTCTATAAAATAAATCAGGAATTGCCCAAGTGTCTTGTTTATATCGTTATAAGCTCCAGTCCTTCTCAGATAGGACATGAAATAAAGACCCAAAACAATGTGAATTTGTTTCTGGAACTAATTTATTCTCCTGGCCAAAACCAGAAAAACATGCAAAACTTCTCTGAGAATCTATATAGCTTCTGAGATCTTACATAGCTTGTAGAAATCAGAGGTTCAGGAATTGGCTGTGTTTTCCATGCTTTGAACATACTTCACACCAAACATGCACAAATTTCAACATTTTCTTTTCACTAATCCACATCTTAATATAGTGATGAAATATTATGGGACCATAAGTAAAAAAGTCACCATGCCTTTTAAAGAGTTAATAGAGTTTCCTTTTCCATGTAGAAACAATAGTCAGTGACAAGAAAATGTCAATTCTGGATAAAATTGTGAATAAGGAACTTGGAATACAAATATTAAATTTGTTACACTGATGAAATAGAAACAAGTCTGGGTCATAAATACTGACCTTTCAAACTTTTTCCAAAAGGTCGACAACCTCAGATCCAGTATCATGACTGGGAGGCATCCTGAAAATATTCTGCTTTAGAACACTTAAAAGGAAGTAACATAACTAAGTGGGGAGCAACTGGAGCAACCCTGGTTCTGTCTCTGCAGGGTGGTGCAAAATAACTGCTGCCTCAGTGCAATACCTGCCACTGCACTTAATAAGATGGCTTTATGTACTGCCCTCTGCATACATCCTAGCTGCCTTGGGGGTGGAACTGCCCAGATATGCCTCCGTAAAGAATCCAGTTGCTGAGAGCCAAGAAGCAAAACTGAGAAGCAAAATATTGCTCAACATCTTTTTAGAACTCCATACAAGAATCCAGTGACTCATCTCAAGTTTCATTAGGTTTAGCACACTGCAGCATCAAATAATTAATCACATAATAGATTTTCTATTATTAGGCTTAGGACACCTACTATCCTTGACAACTCATCAGGATAAAGGATGAAAAGACTGAAAAGGCTGAATATATAGATGCTACTTTTTCTGTAGTGGTTCTTACACTAATCTCCCACTTCTTTCAGTGACAAACTGATAAGACTTTTCTCAATGGCATAGATTCATTCTTTGCTCAGTCATATTACACAGTTGGCAGTGAAGTCAACTTACAATAGTCATAAACTGTTCAGGATTCACGTGACATTTTCCTTCGTTAACTTTGGAACTGCCAGTTCCTTGCGTCAGACATAGCGTTACAATAAACAGCCACATCTCCATTCTCTGTAAAATAAGTGTACTTGGTAAAAGATAGTGTTATTAATATTAAACACAGACTTCATTTTATGTTAGGGAATGTATATTGTGATTATTTTTTTAAATGACCGCCACAACAGAACTTGAGAAACTAGTACCATGCTTGCTGTAATCTAACTTTACATTAACAGCGGGCAACAGTTCAGCAGTACCATGGGGTGGGAGGGCTATTTAAAATGCTGCTAAACAAAGAAATCACCTGTGGATTTATAGCATACTAGCAACTCTTACGTTGCACAATAAAATGGGACATAACCTCAATTCTCTGTTCCTAAAATTGTGAGTTATTTATTGGAAAGAAGACTGTATTCTATAAAGCAGAGAACCTGCAAAGGAGCGGACATCTACAATTAACTGATTGTGAACATCACATGCAACAATGTGACTAATAGAACACTTGATGTATGAACAGGAGGATATTGGGAAGCCAGAAAAATCTGTGCACCCATTTCTGGATTCTACAGTCTATAACATGTTGATCATATGGAGGGGTGAAGAGACAAACAAAAAAAGAAATTTGGAGAATAGATTTCCCAATGGGAAGTTAAACAATGAAGGCCAGGCATTAGCAAGAAATGAAATCGATTCAGGCCAATGTAAAATATCCCCTCATCACAAACCCTCTCAAAGTACAGTTCTCTCAATTCCTATTTAAACTTGAGCAATAACAGCTCATACTTGTAAACTATTTATGTTCCATACCCTTTGCATACGTGAGAAGTCAGAATAAACTTATATTTCACATTATACCCCAGAAAGTTCATACTATCATAAATGAAAATCAGATCCTATAATTCCCATCAAGTCAGAAATTCTGAAACATGGAAAAGAATTGCTCTGAAGCAGAACAGTGAGGAATCTCAGCGCAGAGGTGTCTTTAGGAAAATGTGAGGCTCCAAGTCTGAGAGGAATGCAGCTGAGAGCTTGTAACAGGGAACTCTCACTCTGCTACTGGAGAAAACTGGAGGACAGACAGGGCTGGCAAGGGTTCTTAAGGCTAGTGTCTTTGTGGCTCATAGGGCCCTGCTGGTACTGGGAGAGCTTTCCCCAGTGTCAGCAGGCACCCCTGCCCCCTCTCCCCCCAACATACACTTCCCCCAGGACAGTCCCCAAGCCTTGGCCCTTCAACCCCTGCCCCACACAGACTTAGCTGTATCTAGCTGCTAGGATGCTTCCCACCTGCTGCCTGGTTACATATCAGCCACATGTATGTGCACCCTGCCTCCAATCACCCTGCCCTCAGCCCCAAGCAGCATTTTGCTAGGGCAAGCTCAGAAGTGCTGGGAAAAACTGAAAAAAGCTGAGCTGACTAAAAGCCCAGGCATTCAATCATATTAAAAAAAAAAAATCCCAGATGGAGATTGGAGGAGCTAAAAAGAGGACATATCCAGGAAAATCCGGATGTATGGTAACCCTACTTTAGTCCCTAAAGTATTCAAACAGCAGCCAGCAGCTGCCCCACGTCTGAGTCAAGCTCTTTCACTGCACAATCCTTTCATGCCAGTGAGATCTCCAACTCCAATGTGCACTAGGGGTGTGCAAAGCTTTGGGCCCCGATTTGACTCAGCAGAGATTCAGCCCAATTCAGTGACTGAATCTCCAAATCAAATCAGAGGACCCTTTAATCTCTCTGACTTGAATCGGACCCCTCCAAATCGATTCAGAAAGATTGGGCGATTCGGACATAGAGGCAGTTTTAAATGTTTTTTCTACATACCTCTAGGTAGCAGGGGCTCATGAGCGCTATGATACTGGGGCACATGGGGCATCCCACAGAAGCACATGGCGCTCCCCAGAGCACTCGGCAGCAGACCCAGAAGTGGACCAGAAGCACTTCTGGTCCACTTCTGGGTCTGCCACAGAGCATGCTGGGGGGGGGGCCCTGAGTGCCCCCAGCTCAGTGACTGGTGCCTCCTGGGTCTGAGGGGGGCATCCAGGGTCCCCCTGCGGCTTATCGCTGAGCGAGGGAGGCACCGGGTGGGGGGAGGGGGAAAGGAGGGGCAGTGCACTCCCCGGCAGACCTGGAAATGGATCAGAAGTATTTCTGGTCGACTTCCGGGTTCACCACTGAGCACCCCACTCCGCTGCACTCCTGTGGGACGCTCCATGTGCCCCAACATCACAGCAATCATGAGCCATGCCTGGTACCTCAAGGTACGTAGAAAAAACTTTTAAAGCTGTGTCTATGTCTGAATCGCTGACCCTCCGAATCAGCACTGAATGTTCAGAGTCAGATTCGGCCAAATTGAATCAGGGACAGTGATCCGAATCAATGAATCAAATCACTGCCCCCCGATTTGGGCTGAATCTGAATTGAATAGGGCCCATTTCGCATGCCCCTACTGTGCACCCTGCTGGGTAGGGCTGAACAGGTTCATACTGCTCTGTCTTCCCCTTACTCCAGCCTCAAGCTTCCTCTCCCTTTTTCCCAAGCCCCCAAGTTTCTGGGCATTTCTGTAAGTTGAAGTCCAAATTAAGAGTCAGCACAGCTCTACAAACTGCCCCCTGGTTCCTGTTACACATTACATTCATATTACACCACTAAATGCCAATTCTTACATTCTCATGAACTTAAAATTTTAAATTGGGAAAGGAGAAAAATGGAGATTCTTTGCCAAACCATTAGAAAGCTATGAATAAAAAAATTAGATCTAAGCAGGAACAATTTGGGCAAAGGTCTCCCTAACTTCAACCTTCAGTTGCTCACATCTCCATTTGAGACGACCCAGATCAGGCCAGGAAAATGAGAATTTCTAGAGCTGCTTCCCTAGCAAGAATTCTCTTTGAGGTTTTGATCAGATTCAGAGCCACTGGAAGCTTTTTGAGAACAACAATGGAAATTGCGTCCATATAACAGGTAGACCAGGCAGTGCCTATAGCCAAGTGCTGACTGTTGACAAACTTTGTTCGAACACAAACTAACCCTGCAGTGGGTCTGCCTCCTCTTCAATGTTCCAAACCAGTTTCTCTTTAAAAAGAATAGCATTTTGAGAGTGAGATAAGGGGAAAGATTTGTTTGTTCCATAAACTATATTTCTTTTTGAGCAGAGGGGAAGGGTGGAAGGGATAAATCAACACATAACTGAACACCCCATGCCAAGGCATATACACGAGGGGGCTGTTAAAAGCTGCACCAGCAGGCTGACGTCTGACATTTCCTAACTGGAGTCCTCAACTGCCCGCCTATATTGTATTTAATGAAATAATCCAGACCTACCACGTGAGCTGTATCTGAAGGAATATTTCATTTGTCTTAAGCTTTGTCAAACCCCTAGAAAGTTACAAATAATAAAATAAGACCTAAGCAGAACCAATTTGGAAAAAGGTCTCCCAAACTTAAACCCTTCAATTGTTCAGCCACCTCATATCTCCATTTGAGACTGCCCAGGCCAGGGAAATGAGAAATTCAGGAGCTGCCTCCCTAGCAAGAATGCTCTTTGAGGTTTTAAACAGATGCAGAGCACTGGACGCTTTTTGAAAACAGCAATGGAAATTACTCCCTTACAACAGGTAGACTACGCAGTGACTGTAGCCAAGTACTGACGCTTTACCAACTTGGTTCAAACTGAAATTAACCCTGAAGTGAGTCTGCCTCATCTTAAATTTTGCAAACCAGTCTTCCCTGTAAGGAGACTGGCATTTTTGAGAGTGATATAAGGGAAAATACTGCGTGTGTTCCATAAACCATATTTCTGTCTGAGCAAAAGGGGTGGGGGGGAAATCAACACATAGTTGAACACTTCACACCAAGAAATATAAATGAGGGAGCTGTTACAAGCTGTATAGGCAACCTGAAGTCTGACATTTCCTACCTGGAGTCCTTGATTGCCCATCTATGTTATTTTTAATTAAATAATCCAGACCTACCATGTGAGCTGTATCTGAAGGAACATTATTTCCCCAAGGAACATATCCTTAGTTTAAACTGTACAACTAAAAAAAATCTTACATGATACACTGTCTGGGCTCCCTAACAAGCATCTTTGTTTCCAATGCCTCTATAGCTCCTTGTATTTTTCAGCCACCCCATGCTCAATGCCCTTAAGGGGAGTCCTTAAACTATGGTCCAGCATCTCAAAATCTCAGCACACTGACCACAACTTTGTACAGCCCCTGTGAGGAGGCTCTGTCTCAAAGGTGAAACATAATACTTAATCCAAAAAAGAAGGATTAAGGTAAATCGAGAGACCTGCTAAAACAGTTTCAAAGTACCTTGGTGGCATGAATGAGAGATGCAAGCTTAGATGCAAACTCCCTCCTTGACCAGGCAGTTTTGACAGCAAGAAATGTTTTAACCTGCATTTCACTTACTGAAATTACAGATTTTTTGGATCCTTTTTTGACGATATCTTTATTTAAAATAGAAAAAAAGGAGGAAAATGCTGACCCTAAGCAAAGCTATCCTCTAACCAAAAAGAGGGACAAAAAGCCCCATTCAATAAAGATTTATTTCCTGGCAGACAACACCAATTCTGCCATGTATGGACCTGCATCATTACATACAAATTGGTTTTGCATGGTGAAAACTACTGGGAAGAGATTAATCCCTCATCCTGCCCCGGGAAATATCAACGTGCCAGTCTTGAATAACAAAGGCAAAGAGAAGATCTTTCTCACCAAAGTCTTTCCGTGGCACCCAGATGCAGTACCGATCTTCCAAGGGGAGCAGTGCTGGTATTCCTAGTGTTAAAAGAAAAGAAATGAAATAAATAGGACTGCCATTTGCTTAAAGAAATGAAAAGAAACAATAATTGTTCCCCTTCCTCTCCCTCCCTCCCTAATGAGCAGCAGTTTTGAATCTGTCCTACGAACTCTTTCATTCACTTTCTCTCTCTCTGCTAGTTCCTGAGCCTGTGCAATTGTATTGTTTCACACTTAGTGCACTATTAGGAACACCCATCTCAAGCTGTAGCCCACAGGGCAAAAAAATTATTTCATAATTTAAATTAAGTGGGTTGAAATAATGATACTACAGCAGTGCACACCAATACGCATTCAAACAAACAAGCTGTTAAGAGGCTGCAATTTGGGGCTGAGGGAATCCACCCAATTCTTTGCCAGCTCACTGCATTTTTTTTGTCCAAGATTTTTTTGATCATCATCATCACCTTCTTGCAAACACCATCTCAGTTGTATTTTGCAGTAGGCATTTGGATGCAATAGGAATCATATTGTTAGCTAGCATTTCCAGTAACTACTAACTCTTGTTTCAACACATGCTTTTGCCATGCTAAACATTTCTCAGCATCAGAATTACTCTTGAAGTCACAGATTCATGAAGAGAGACAACCCCTGCCCCACTTTGGAGGTAAGTGAGGTTTTCCCAAGAGCTGCTCCTTTCATGGTCTGCTCCACATCTTTGTCCCTTAAGAGAACAAGACTGAGTCTCCTTCAACCAACAAGCCTCAGATCACCAATACTCTGTTCAGTCCTCACTCCACTGACCTCAATACAGATCTTTATTTGATGCTTAATTGTGTTGCACAAATTGCTAGTTTCGTGCCCCTGGAGGCCTTTCCCAAACACCTCAAGGAGGGAGTCACACTCAGGCTGAGTCCATTACAAGTTTATTGATTGCTCAATCGGTCGACAAAGGGGTTGAGTAACCCAAAGCAGTGTCGACCCCCAGTCTTTGTCTGAGGGTCTTTTATAGCTTACCTAAACAAAGAACTGTAGCGTGTTTTACGACTATTGGCAGTTTCACAATTTTACCGTTACGTTTAGGTTTGCACAGGATGTCAGGGCCTTTTAAGTTAGACTCAACTTATTATGGGATAGATGAAGGCGCATGCATGTTGGGGAAGCTGTGGTAAACTCAATGTCCTTTAGTAACCCCTTATCTTTGTGTAATCCTAGGTCATTGAACAGGTGCAGTTTTTGAAACTCTATGTGTAAAGCTGTCCTTAACCCATATGCATAAGCTGTCAGCAAGCTATGTTAAATACAAAAGCATATTGGAAAAAAAAATAAAGCATCATGTCTAATTTTAAGTCCTATGTCTAAAATCTAATGTATTTGTACTACAATCTCCCCCCTCAAAGATGCTTTCTATCTCTACAGATTTTGATAATCCTCAGCGAGAGCTAGC